GTGTGTGTGTGTGTGTGTGTGTGTGTGTGTGTGTGTGTGTGTGTGTGTGTGTGTGCGTATACATGCATGTGAGTGCGTGCATTCGTGTTAACGTGTGAATGGCGCTCCACCTTTTTTGGTTCTCTCTCGGCGTTAATCGGTTTTGTCACATTCGCTGCATGAGTTCCCTTATAGTCGTTAACACGTTTCCTGTAAGCGCCTTGTGTGTTTGCACGGCGTATATAGTCGCGTACCTATGCATTATCGAATGCAGAGCTCCTTGATGTTTAGTTTACGCGCTATAGATATTCTGTGCATCCCCATGAACGCGATGCATATGGACGAGCACGCCGCGCCTCGTTAAGTAGAACACAATTAGTACAGCAATTAGTTTAAATTGAAAGAGCGCGGAGCCATATAAGTAATTACATAGAGATGGCTACATATCATGAATGCCCGCATAGTCGCTGGGGAGTATTATACAGCTTGGGCTGAAATATTACGGTATCGGAAGTGAACGCAGGGGTTGCGCATCCCATTTTAATTCTGCTGGGTTGGGGGAAGGGAAATGTTGGCAAATCATGCACTATTATTCTTGGGAGAGGAGTTGGGGGTCGGTCGTAATTTCGTCTTCTGAGAGTCGCGGTGGATAAGTGGGAACACAGCTTGTATACCCCCGTGTTCTCGTTAGATTTCTATGACTACATTCGCAAAAAAACCACTAAGAGCACGAACGTATCAACTTTATCTTACGCAAATTTTGCTCATCTCGCAAATCTTAAGCACATTGCTCGCGTGCGTGCCTGCGTGCGTGCCTGCGTGTGCGGACGTGTGTGTAATATGTGCGCGCGAGCCCGTGCCCGTGTATTAATCTGCTGCCGCATCTGAATCCGTCGTCTGCCAGAGTTCGATCGTCAGCTGCGTTGGTGGAGATATGGAGGAAATCTAATTAAAGCTGAGTGGCTGTAACAGCTTTCAGCTCATAAACCAGTAGACCGGACATATTTACATTTTATTGCAACATAATTTCGTAACTGATGCAAGCGTTTACCTTGCATTTGTCGCCATAAGTGTCTATGTATATATATATATATATATATATATATATATATTCTTGTGTGTGTGTGTGTGTCTACATCAACATCTATATGGTTACCTCGATCTGTCCCCTTGACAATTACTCAACGGTATGTGGTGTGTGTGTGTGTGTGTGTGTGTGCATGTG